TACTATCCTATTCACCAGGAAAAGCAATGTGAACAAATCCTTCCAAATGCTTCTTTGCCTTATAATTGATTCCAAAATGGTGCACTAACTTACCCCAAGCAATTAATGACACTGAGATCTCATAGTAGTCTTCCTAGCCAGTAAGCTGCAAAAAGCACTGGAAGTTTAACTGAACTGATGGTAGGAGGGGTTTTTAACTCTTTTCCTTTAGTTCCTGCTTTCAAATACGGTGCCAGGAGAGTGGGTGGACACATGAGAGCATAACATCAAGGTGTGATCATACACAAAGACAACAGTGGGCTCCCAGAGGTGCAGAAACAGCTCAAGGCTGTTTCCTGCAGATGTTCCTGCAGATCCAGATGTGCACAGAGGGCTGAGCTGCAGTGTCAGCGGCAGGACCAACAGCTCAGGTTGGTGGCTGGTAACCAGAGGTGGTCTTCTCAAAGCAACAACCCACCAGTTCAGGGTTTTTTTCCAATTTCTTTCCTTTTCCTTGACACAGGAGGTTTGTGAGTGTTTTGAGCCAATGCTATCCAGTGCTCCTTTCTAAAATGTGGGTGCTTTGCTGACAACCTTGACTAGTATCAGATGAAAACTTGAATATTTACTTCAAAACCCCTCATTACCTTGCTCAGACCATCCCTGCTCCAGCAAATGGCTGTTGGGAGGTGAGCCTGAGCTTGAGAACTGTGTCCTTAAGTAACACTTGCAAAATGTTAAAATATTTTGCAAAAATATTTTAAAATATTTGCAAAAATATCCTTGGTGTAGACCTCATAAACCCTTTAGGTGTTTATGAACTGCTCTACAGGACATTTGAAGCCTGTGTTTTAGAACAATGTGGCGCTTGCAGCTAATCGGGGTTGCAGATGGGAGCTGGTGTGTGGCCAGCCAATCTGGGGCCAGTGTGTGCTCAGTCGAAGTCCCAGCCCTGCCTTGACTGGACCCGGATGCTCCACAGACACATGCACCATGTCCCACAGTGGGCCATCGCTGCACCCAGCGGGGTCTTCCCTTCCCAGCCCCCTGTCAGCTGGAGCTTGGCCGAGTGCCCAGATAAATCCCACAAATCATTTAACGCTCCATATCTGCCCCATTTGTCCATGTCTGAATGGGGAAACAAATCAGAGAAAGGGTTAAACACACTTTAGAGTGAATCCAGTTTAAAGAAGCAAAAAAAGCACTTAGAGGGGATGCTTTCCCATCTCACCCCTGAGTAACCTCAATTTCCTCAATAAATAGAGAATAGTTCTGTGGGCATCGCTTTCCACATTCTTCCGCAGTGGCTGAATTGTTCTATCTGCAGCAGCATTTCTGTACTGACCATTGGGTCCAAGGCATCACTTTTGGGGCAGGAGACGGGATTCTGGTCCCAGCAGCTTTGAGGCTGTTGTTCTTCACCGGGTAAGTTGAAGGCAGAGAAGAGAACTTCCCCACCTCTTCTTCTGACTTATTACAGCCTGTTATTACAGCTTATTACAGCTGTTATTACAGCTCATTACAGCTGTTATTACCCAGCCTGGAGTGAGCTGTTTCTTTGCTCCTTGCCTCAGTTTCTCCAGCTACAGGACAAGAATAACACCATCTGCAGAGCGCTCCCACAGTCTCGGTCTGGCGTGTGAAGACTTGGGGGTTTGGGTTCACAGAGGATTTGTTTGATCTAGAAATAGCAAGGTTAGAAAATTCCATCTGCCTGGTCCTGAGAGCCCTCGACAGCAGAAGAATTTCACTGCATCTTGAGCCTCAGACTGCACTGCTACCTCCCAGGGCAGCGCGAAGGCGAGCACTGAGCAAACCAGGGCTGTTTGGCTCCTGTCCTAAGAAGCAGCATGAGCAAAACCGCATTCCAGAAAGGCTTGATGTGGAGAACAGAGCAAGGCACGTTCCCCTTCTTGCTCCTGCATGGGGCTGTGCCCATGGCTGATGCTGGTGGCTGCTCCTGCCCTGTGCCTGGCATGGCTGATGAGCTCAAATCCCAGCTTGTGCCATGGAGATCCTAGGGCTTAATTTTGTGTCTCCATGTAAAAGAGATGAAAAACCAGGTTAGGACCAGGCTCGTGCCTCATTTTACCTCCACTCAGCCATACTCACCCAGCATGGAGGAGTAGGTTTGAAATCCATACTCTTTCAACATATGGCAACAAATCCTTCCTCTTCCTCTGCATATTTGTGGAAGGCCGCAGTGGAGTAGCCTGTGCCAAGCCAGCTTGTGCGGAGCCATCACACGCTATTGCCATATGCTCTCATGCTAACTCACTCTTGTCCATACTCATATTCTTGGTTCCTACATCTGCCACCAATACATCCACTCTTTGCAGTTCTGGGTGCAGTGGTTGGTGTCAGTTCACAGATGGGATAGGGCACACAGCTACCTAATTTACTGCCTGCCATCAGGTGTCTGTGTGGAAACAAGGTGGGTAAACTCAATAGCAACCTGGCAGATCATTCAGAGGAGGGATGCAGGGGAGCAGAAAGGATGTGCCCATTCTCTGTTGCCCTGGGGTGAGAGCCCCGCTGTTCCCTGTCACAGTGCTCTTTGAGTCTGTGTGCTTTCCGTATTACTCTCATAGAATCATAGACTGGTTTGGGTTGGAAGGGACCTTAAAGCTCATCCAGTTCCAACCCCCTGCCACAAGCAGGGACACCTTCCACTAGACCAGGTTGCTCCGAGCCCTGTCAAGCCTGGCCTTGAACACTGCCAGGGATGGGGCAGCTGCAGCTTCTCTGGGCAACCTGTGCCAGGGCCTCACCACCCTCACAGGGAAGAACTTCTTCCTAATATCCAATCTAAATCTACCCAGCTCCAGGTATGTGTCAGGGCTGCTGCCAGTCAAGCAGTAAAATTGCCTTCTGCCCTCAATGATGCCTGGGGTTACCCAAGGAGCCCAGGCTAAGGCCCCATTGCAAGTTAAGCTAAGCACAAAATGGTTATTACAGGCTCTTCCTCCCCAGCTGTCTCCAGGTCTAATAAATGCATGTTTTTCTCTGAAAACTTTTCAAGGTTTATTTTTAAAACAATCTGCATTTGATTAAACATTTGTTTGTTTTGGTTTGTTTTTTTCAAAAGGAACTTAAAAGGGCCATTGGCCTGTAAACATAAATATTCCCATTCTTTTGCTGATTCTTTGCATTTTTCTGGGTTTGCTAATGAAAGATATTTGAGCAGTGTTGGAACTCTGTGTTGTGGGCAGCATCCTCTACTCCCATTTTCAGCTCAGGCACTTGAGCACATGGCATGCAGGCGAGAGATTATCACAAGTTAAAACACCTTTTCATGCCTAGGTGGCTTCCATGGTGCCCGGCATTCACTTTTACAGTCACCCAAACCCTTACAGCAGAGCAATGTTTTGTAACAGGCAACAAAGCTGGGAATGGTGAATCTAGTAGTTGCTGTGCCTTGTTGTGTTATTAATCTTTGTTTATCCAGTACCACCAGATATCTCTGCCTCCGATTACAGTGGTGCAGCATGTTCCCACACTGGCCACAGCTTGATGCTGTGCTCTCATGGTCAGCCCCATGTCATGGTCCATTACAGGTCCCAGGGAGATGGGCTACAGCAGCAAAAGGTGCCTTTTTAGGATAAAATGACTTCATCTGTCACAGATGTGCCAATGTCACAGCCGTGCCACTGACTGTAGCACAGATGTTAACTTACAGCTATGTTTTTTATTTCCCCCTCTTCTTGCAGGTTATAACTGAGTAGCCCTTATGACAAACATGAGCTGGAGCTTTCTAACCCGCCTGCTAGAAGAGATTCACAACCACTCCACCTTTGTGGGGAAGGTCTGGCTCACCGTGCTCATCGTCTTCCGCATTGTCTTGACAGCAGTGGGGGGGGAGTCCATCTACTCTGATGAGCAGAGCAAGTTCACCTGTAACACCAAGCAGCCCGGTTGTGACAATGTCTGTTACGATGCCTTTGCGCCGCTGTCACATGTCAGGTTCTGGGTCTTCCAGATCATCATGATATCCACCCCTTCGGTCATGTACCTGGGCTATGCCATCCACAGGATCGCCCGGTCGGCGGAGGAGGAGAAGAAGTTCAAGGGATTCAAGAAGAAGAAGCAGTTTGCTTTGAACTGGCAGGCAGTGCGCAACATGGAGGACGCGATGGAGGCTGATGAAGATGAGCCCATGATCTCTGACGACACAGCAGAACGTGAGAAAGCCAAAGCCAAGCCCAAGAGCAAAGAGCAGCAAAAGCACGACGGGAGGAGGCGTATCCAGGAAGAAGGGCTGATGAAAATCTATGTCTTTCAGCTACTTACCAGAGCTTCGTTTGAAGTTTGCTTTTTGATAGGGCAGTATTTACTCTATGGCTTTGAGGTAGAAGCCTATTATGTCTGCAACAGAGTCCCTTGCCCTCATACTGTGGACTGCTTTGTGTCCCGGCCAACAGAGAAGACCATCTTTCTCCTGGTGATGTACGTGGTGAGCTGCCTGTGCTTATTGCTGAACATGTGTGAGATGTTCCACTTGGGGTTTGGAACCATCCGAGATGCCATTCGCAACCGGAAAATCAACAGCTTCAGGCAACCTCCCTATAACTATGCCTACCCAAAGAACATCTCCTGCCCTCCTGAGTATAACCTGGTAGTGAAATCAGAGAAGTCCACCAAGATCCCCAACAGCCTGATGGCTCACGAGCAGAACTTGGCTAATGTTGCTCAGGAGCAGCAGTGCACCAGCCCAGATGAGAACCTCCCGGCAGACTTGTCCACCCTTCACAAACACTTGCGAGTGGCCCAGGAGCAGTTAGACATAGCATTTCAGAGCTACAGCAGCACTCAGGGCAACACACAACCTTCTCGAACCAGCAGTCCCGCCTCGGGCGGTACGGTGGTAGAGCAGAACAGGGCCAACACAGCCCAGGAGAAACAAGGTGCTAAACCCAAGGCCAGCTTGGAGAAAGGAAGCTCAAGCAGTAAAGATGGAAAGACATCTGTATGGATATAGCTTTGTCTAAAAGGAGAGAGTGCAGCATAAGTGGGGGTTTTATTTTGGTTTGTTTCTGGTTTTTGGTTATTGCGTTCATTTCACAGGGCACAGACACAATTTTTATATGGAAGTCAAGAGAGAAGAGGAGTTTCAGACCAATTTAGTGCTGTCTTCCAGTGTGTTAACAAAAGACATTTCTTCCCTGTTTCCAGTAAGTTCTCCAGCTGGGAACCTCCAGTGAGAAACAGCAAACCCTCTGCATCTCCCACCCCTTCGGTCACTACCGGAGCCCCCAACAGAGACTGGACAACGTGTTATGATGGGAAGCAGAGCTGCTAGTGGCTCAGGATAGAAGTCAGGCCAACAGCGAGCAGCTCTTCTCCTGCATGGCAAGGCTAGAGTGCTGTAGGTCAGGCAGTGTTTAATTACTAAATATCCTTAATCAAAATTAATTCCTGATTCCTTGATAAGAAAACAACTGACATATTGCATGAACTTTCATGACATGCTTACTGCTGATGTCCCACCTGAACTGTTAGATGCTCTAGCAGGCATTGCTGGAAACAAAGGCATCGCTGGATGCTGTGAGCCACAAGCTGGCACCCACATCGAGTTATGGGGCAGAAACATAGTGACTGTCTTACACAGGGAGACCTAAGAGCATAGCACAGCGTCAAGGTTTTTGTCTTTTCTTCCTCTGCATCAAAGCAAAAAGTAAACATGACCAAACACTATGCAGCAGGAGCAAGCAGTGACATTGCATCATACCAGTGTCTGTGCAGCGCTTGCTACAGATGTGATGGGAATCTTTGCAGTTACAATGTTTTTAACAAACTGCTGCTTCACACCACCAGAAAGTGCCTTTATGCAAGCAGGAAAACAAAACCATAAAGGGCTTAGATTTCTTTAATTGCTGAACTTTAGTAGAGATTGGAAGATCAGTGTTGGCAAATTTGTTTTTCTGTTTAATCAAACCCTTATAAATAGTGGCAGATGGCATGTCTATGCATAGCGTGTATACGGTGTGTGTGTGTGTGTACATGTACGTATATATACAGACACATATGAACATGTGTGTGTGAATATAGACATAGATATATATAAATGTAATATCAACCCTCTGGTAATTTTGCAGCCTTCCACCTCCCCTGGGAAACCCAGCTGTCCAGGAGTATGGCTGATCTCATCCTGAAGCATCTTTTGGGCTTCTACCTTCCAGCCTTGCCTGGGGAACTGGCAGGTTTCACACACTTGCTTGGGGGTGCTTGGCAGTGTGATCTGGCTTCAGCGGGGGCAGTACCAGGACAGTAGCAAGAAGTTTTCTCCCTAGTCCACGGGGAGATTTTTTCAGCTTGGCTTGGTTTTAGGGTGGTTTTCATGCAGTGTCTGGGGCATGTTAAAATCAAGCTGCTGAGCAACAACGCTCCTGCTGGTGCCAAGGATGTGCTTTGTCAGGGTGGTTTCATCCCATGTCTCTTGTACAGCTGCTGGGCTGTGGCTTTGTTCCCCTCCAGTAACACAAAATAGAAAATATCATCACTGTGAGCACAAGGAGCATGTCCTTGTGCTTATTCCTGCCAAATAGTAGAGGCTGAAACCAGTAACTGCCTGATTCTGTCATGTATCAGAGCTGGTCTGACCCCTGAGATGTTCCCAACACGCTTGTGGCTTGGCAGATGCTCTCACAGCCTCCCAGGATTCACCGCCATGGAGAACCCAAATAGGCAAAGCCTTCAAGATCCAACCTAATACAAAAAAGTAAACCCACAGCACTGTCCCTACACTGAGCTGTTCCCTCAGGGCTGTGCCAGCCACGCAAATGCTCATACAGGTCTCCATGCCACTATTTCTTACCCACTGGATTTGCATGACTTCTTGCTGGGCATCTTTCTCATGTCCTTGAGATCACTGCCTGAGGATGCCTGTTTTGAAGGTGGCCAGGCCCTTTGGCCATGCTGGGGAACAGGCAGAGAACTTGGGAATGACCTTTAGCTCCTGGGAACCTCAACTGAGCTGTGCCATGCCATTACAGTGCCAGCAGCAAAAAAAGTACGTTTAAAAAGAAAGCAAAGAAACATCTTACGAGGTATCCAACTGAAAAATATTCAGTATGGCTTTGCATAACAGCTGAGGAACACTTTCAGGCTTGTTCCTGGTCTTGCTGAAGGCATTGATAAAATGCCTGGAGTACTGCCTGCTCCTGCTGCTAGAGATCTGCTCCTCGAAAATGGATAACTGCATCCAGGAGGAGGACCAGTGCATCCCCCCAGCAGCAACAGTCAGTAGTAACATACATCCACTGCGTGCAAGGATGGCGCTTCTGCCATGAAGTTTGCACAAAAGGCTCAGTAAGCCCACACCACGGTGGTGGGGAGACAAACATATCCAACTATGCTGTTTGTCCTTGTTCTGTGTTTGGGAACCTGTGCTCCTCCTGGGCTGGGGCTGTGCTGGGCAATGCAGGAGAGGCTGTTTGCCGTTGGTGCTGCTGTCATAAAGACAAATGCATGCAGGTCCACAGACCAGGGCTGCTGGGGAGGAGAGCAGAAGTGCTGATGGGTGGGAATTTGCTCCCTAATAATTACAGCTGTCCAGGGCACAAAGCTTGTCCTCCCCATCAGTGCGACTTTTCTTTTACTGCCAGCCTTGTGTCCCATGGGAAACAGTGTGTATTTAAAGTCATAATCCCAAGGGAAAGATGGAAACTCTGAGGAGAGAGATGGTTGGATGCTGCCTGGGTTTTCCAGATTCCTTTCTGATAAGCAGCAGTATCACAGCCCCAGATAAACTTATCCTCCCCATGCAATGCTGTAAGGCCCAGTCCTGTGCAGGAGTCCGGATTTTGGATTGCTCCTGCCCATAACAGTGAAACTTCCTTCAGCCCCAGCCATGGCATGAGCATTTCCCAAAGACTCACATCAGTCCCTCAGCTCCTGCTGACCTGTGGATTCACCGAGTCATCAAACACAGGGATAGGCATGTGCCTCCCTTGCTCTTGCTTCCAGAAACCATCCCGGCCAACGCCTCGCCTTGGGGAAAGCAGGGGACAGATTTTAAGGCAAAACCCCCAGAACCTGGTCACAGAGACCTGACTGACTCATTAAACCCATTTTATATAGCAGGGCTATACTCTCTACCCCAGTGACACAGCTGGCCAGTGCCCAATGGGTGATGCCAGGGCTCCATGACTGCAGGACCAGAAACAAAACAACAGGGCTGGAAAGGACTACAGCTCTTCTTGACAACTTGGCACCATCAAATGCCTCTTTAATGGCTAACACGATGCCCCGTTGCTGCAACCCCTCATGTCTCCTCTCCTCAGCAGACATGGAGAATGTCTCATGCCTTTAATGTCTGCAGAAGCTTTTGGGTTTTTAAAGGCTGTTTTTATCCTCCTCAAGTCTGCTGTAAGCTAAACAACTCCAGTTGTGCCAACTTTTCTTCAAAGGCTGCTTTCCTAGGATGGTCTTCTTTGGTGTCTTTGAACCACCACCAGCCAGGCCACATCTTCCCACTCTGCTCCTCTTCATGCACCCATCTGCCACCCTTGTCCTCCCCAAAACCCCGTCTTCTGCAGGCATGGGTATTGCTCTCCTCTTCAGATGTGTGCTTGTACAGTCAGGAGCTTCCTGCCATCCTTAAAACTGCCTTTTTATTTTCACACTGCAGACCAAGGGGACTTGGAATGGTCTGCTGGTCTGCAGCAGATTTGCAGCCTCCTCCCGGCTGGTGTCACCATACATTTAATACGCACACACTGTTTTCCATAGTGAGAGTCAATAATTGCAATATTGATGAGTACTAGAGCCAGGGCACAATCTTGGGCAATCAATACAACCTCCTTCCAGCCAGTCCCACTCACCTACCAGGCTTGAAATACCTCCCTGCATAAAATGCTTTCCGAATGAGAGTTGATCTTGCTTCCCCATGTTTTCCAAGTGTTTTGACAGGGACAGAAGCAGGATTGCTCTGGTGCTGTGAGCTGCCTGGGAAAGAGGCAAAATTTCCTGAAAGATCCCAGCCAACCTGGAGGACACTACTGACTCCTCTGACCTGGGAGAGAAGGTACTCCAGTTCTCCCAGGCCACATCCAAGCCACGCGTAGAAGCCAGCACAAGTCAGACAGCCCCAGAAATATAAAGGATTATTATTATTATGTATAGAGTTGCTCACTTTTCCCCTTCCTCCTCCATTCCTTGGTCTTTAAAGCCTGTAGGATATTGTATCTTTCCACCGAGTCACTGCCACAAAGGCAACCGACATGCATTAATGTCTCTGCAGTAATAACTCCTTCCAAGGAAGGAGCAAAGATCCCTTATTTTATCATGTCAGTTTGGGAAGGAAAAAGATGATAGAGAGGCAAAATATGCATAACCACAAGCAAGAGCCCCCTCACAACCACTACAAACTAAACTGGCAGCTCAAGGAATTTCAATTAGATGACAGGACGTAGAAAAATTGCCAGTAGTATAATTGATGCTTTGCTTTATTTTCTTTTACAGGATAGTAGTTTTGTACACACTCAAGAGGGGTTTAGCTTTGTAGCTGAACTAATCGTAAACGTTGACTCTCTTGCTAAGCTTGGTTGGATTAAGTGCCCGCACTTATATTTCTATTCTTACCATTCAGGGCCAGGAATGTCCCATGTAAAAGCCAGATTACCTTGTTGCTTGCATTGCATTCCACTGGGAAATACTTGAACTTAACTCAAGCCCATAACCAGTCTGTGCTGTTACAAAGTTTCTGGGATTGTTATTTTTTTGTTGTTCATTTTTTAATGTACTAACTGTATTTGTACTAGGAATTTCTTAAGTATGAGGTTGAATCTAAGTATTGTTCAGTGTAAATGTTACATCTGGACTGTCATTAGAATATTAAACACTGCTCAAAAGAGAAAGATACATCAGTCCAACTCTTCAACTGGTTATTCCACATCCATTACTAATAAAACAGAATAAAACCTACATTTTGTTACAGTATGTAAAGCGTATGACGTGTCTGTGAGAAGGGCACTGAGT